GATTGCACTCACTGTTGTAAAGCCAACTCGAAAGCTATGCCCAATGGTATAGAAGGTGTCACCAGTGGCAAGGAATCTATAAAAAAAATTCAGTTTTTAGGTGATGAAGTAAAAAAAAGGTGGAAGAATATCACACATTTGCAAAATATATAAAATCTACCAAACCAAAGACCGGCCAAGCAGTGGGCAACATAAAAAAATGGCAGTGGGCTGACTACATGGAATTTTTCCGTCCTTTTTTGGAATTTGCCAAAACGTCGTCTAATGTGAAAGATACTGACGTCATACATTATGAGACTGCCGAATTTAACTCAAATATATATCAGGAAAGGGCTGGAAATGTAGAAACCGAAAATTTGGAAGACCGCGGCCATGGAGAAGATGAAAATGCTGATGTAGATGCAGAAGATGCACAGAACGCCTCGGCAACACAGACAGCACCACCTTCTTCATTGAACACTACAGCAGTGACTACTCCAGGGCACACCTTTCCGCAGACTGCAACTACACCAAAATATAAAACGAGCAGAAAACGCTATGAACCACCATCTTCGTCTGTACAACAGCTCATTAATTATTTTGAAGGTAAAAAACCTAAAAAAGAGAACGAGGCCATTGATTCACTTTTCTTGGCACATGCACAGACTGTGAAAACACTTCCCAAAGCGTCAAGCCCGAATAAAACTAAAAATAGCCGAATTAATAGCGCACGAAGAATTTGAACATATTGAAGAAATGTCTTCAGCGTCTACCCAGAATTCTGCAAGTATGTATGATAGTAGTATGTCGTCCTTCCCAAGCGGCACTGGGTTTACTCCAATAATATACCCAACAGAGGAGGCAAATTCTGCCTCGAATTATTTAGCAACATTTAATCCTAGTGGCAACATGTAGTCCAATTATTACAATAAAATATTTATTTCACGATCCCTGAAGTTTTCGTATTCGATAAGCCTACTAATTTTAATACATATAATTTTTTTACCTGAGTGTCGTTCTTCTGGCGAAATAGCTTCACGATAATTTGTGTCAGATTTTCGTATTTCATCTTTCACCAAGTTCAATATTTCATCGAAACAGTCTGGAGTCATTCTAAAATATACGTAAAAGCGCTGTTCATCCAGCCGAAGTTGTGGCATCAAGGTTTGGTATTCCCCAAATTTATTTCGTTCCAAGTTAATATCGTGTACCCGCTTCCTTCGTTTCCTAAACAAAATTGAAAATATTTGTTTTATGTACTTAGTTAAACTTAATACATACCCAACTATCAAATGGCGTTAAATAAACATAACTTACCGTGCATTTTGTTCCTCTTCTAAAGCAAGAAATAGAAGTGTCTCCTCTTCTTCTGAAGACGAGCTCATTGCAAAAGGCAAAAATAAAATGTACGCAACCTGTCGAAACCTTCACGTTCGCAGAGCGAATAAGACGCTTTGGTATGAATAAACAGGCGAAACAGATTGCGAATTTCGCTCTGAATTTCGTTGCGAATACTTCGCCGCGATTATTTCACGCCGGTTTGTGGGATGCTTTACAGGCGGTCTTGTCGCTCTGTGGTCTCTCTGCGACGCCCAGAGCCCCTCGCTCGCTGTCCTCGGCCTTCCTGAGTCTACGCTCGTTCACAAAAGGGCTTCTCCATAAGCTACACGAAATTTAACATTTAACTAACACCCTAAATGTACGAAAACTGAATGCTTCTTCATCACCAAACAATACACGCAGCTACCACAAATACTCAACAGAACAACCTGGCCATCTTAACACTTGTTCATGGCAAGATAAATCAGTATGCAAAAATTCTTGGTTTCTAATAAACAGTACAATAAAACATTTTTTAATCATAATCGGACATTAGTCAAGATTATTGAAACATCAAAAAATTTCAAGAAAGAAATCAAGACATGGAACCGTATTCATAAGACAAAGGATACCCTTGTACTTGCAAATTTTGAAGGAAATCCTCCAGATGGTATTTACGATAATTTGAAGTAAATGCCTTTGCCTTTTGAGTATAAGCATATCCTTCAAAGCAGTGACCTAAGTAAAAGGATATTCATAATATTCACCTTATACTTGGCATATGAAGCATATCTTCAAACATTCTGAGAGTGGTCAGTAGCAGACCCAACTTCGTAACGAAAGGTGGTTTTTTTGTGCCATAACGTAGATTTTTCTACAAGATGTCAACTTAGCTGTAGCTGTGTACACTTATGAAAAGTGAGGTTATAATAAGTTTTATTTTCGTGAACATCATAAGTTACAGGTGGCTGCTGACGCTGAATCATTTCTAATTTCGTTTTATAATATTCTTGTTGTAAAATACTTGTTCGGTAGTGCTGTAATAGCACTAGACGTTGCAGTTCTTTTATAGTTAACCCTTTAGTTTCCTCAGTTTCGTATTTCTCTGTTGCTAATTTTCTTTTTGGTGGCAATGTCTTCTGAATCTCTGGCGCTGTAATACTAACTGTTTGCTCACTGCGCTCGGTATATAGTTCACTTCCTTCTTCTTGAACACTACCAACCTGAATGGCACCTCTAATTTTCTCAATTGTAGGATTACAGTCACCTTCCATAACTTTCAGCAACTTTCTTTCCCAATCTAACAATTTAATTGCTTTATTACCAGTTTTTTTTTTAGATTTGTTTTTTCTTCAATCTTGACTTCATGTTGTTGATTTTGTCGTTTTTTTGTGCCATAACGTAGATTTTTCTACAAGATGTCAACTTAGCTGTAGCTGTTGTACACTTATGAAAAGTGAGGTTATAATAAGTTTTATTTTCGTGAACATCATAAGTTACAGGTGGCTTCTGACGCTGAATCATTTCTAATTTCGTTTTATAATACTCTTGTTGTAAAATACTTGTTCGGTAGTGCTGTAATAGCACTAGACGTTGCAGTTCTTTTGTATTTAACCCTTTGGTTTCCTCAGTTTCGTATTTTTCTGTTGCTAATTTTCATTTTGGTGGCAATGTAATGAATTTCTGGTGCTGAAATACTAACTGTTTGCTCACTGCGCTCGATATATAGTTCACATCGTTCTTCTTGAACACTACCAACCTGAATGGCACCTCTAATTTTCCCAATTGTAGGATTACAGTCACCTTCCATAACTTTCAGCAACTTTCTTTCCCAATCTAACAATTTAATTGCTTTATTACCAGTTTTTTTGTAGATCTGTTTTTTTCTTCAATCTTGACTTCATGTTGTTGATTTTGTCGTTTTTTTGTGCCATAACGTAGATTTTTCTACAAGATGTCAACTTAGCTGTAGCTGTTGTACACTTATGAAAAGTGAGGTTATAATAAGTTTTATTTTCGTGAACATCATAAGTTACAGGTGGCTTCTGAAGCTGCATCATTTCTAATTTCATTTTATAATACTCTTGTTGTAAAATACTTGTTCGGTAGTGCTGTAATAGCACTAGACGTTGCAGTTCTTTTATAGTTAACCCTTTAGTTTCCTCAGTTTCGTATTTCTCTGTTGCTAATTTTCTTTTTGGTGGCAATGTCTTCTGAATCTCTGGCGCTGTAATACTAACTGTTTGCTCACTGCGCTCGGTATATAGTTCACTTCCTCCTTCTTGAACACTACCAACCTGAATGGCACCTCTAATTTTCCCAATTGTAGGATTACAGTCACCTTCCATAGCTTTCAGCAACTTTCTTTCCCAATCTAACAATTTAATTGCTTTATTAACAGTTTTTTTTAGATCTGTTTTTTTCTTCAATCTTGACTTCAAGTTGTTGATTTTGTCGTTTTTTTGTGCCATAACGTAGATTTTTCTACAAGATGTCAACTTAGCTGTAGCTGCTGTACACTTATGAAAAGTGAGGTTATGATAAGTTTTATTTTCGTGAACATCATAAGTTACAGGTGGCTTCTGAAGCTGCATCATTTCTAATTTCGTTTTATAATACTCTTGTTGTAAAATACTTGTTCGGTAGTGCTGTAATAGCACTAGACGTTGCAGTTCTTTTATGGTTAACCCTTTAGTTTCCTCAGTTTCGTATTTCTCTGTTGCTAATTTTCTTTTTGGTGGCAATGTCTTCTGAATCTCTGGCGCTGTAATACTAACTGTTTGCTCACTGCGCTCGGTATATAGTTCACTTCCTTCTTCTTGAACACTACCAACCTGAATGGCACCTCTAATTTTCCCAATTGTAGGATTACAGTCACCTTCCATAGCTTTCAGCAACTTTCTTTCCCAATCTAACAATTTAATTGCTTTATTACCAGTTTTTTTTTAGATCTGTTTTTTTCTTCAATCTTGACTTCATGTTGTTGATTTTGTCGTTTTTTTGTGCGATAACGTAGATTTTTCTACAAGATGTCAACTTAGCTGTAGCTGTTGTACACTTATGAAAAGTGAGGTTATGATAAGTTTTATTTTCGTGAACATCATAAGTTACAGGTGGCTTCTGAAGCTGCATCATTTCTAATTTCGTTTTATAATACTCTTGTTGTAAAATACTTGTTCGGTAGTGCTGTAATAGCACTAGACGTTGCAGTTCTTTTATAGTTAACCCTTTAGTTTCCTCAGTTTCGTATTTCTCTGTTGCTAATTTTCTTTTTGGTGGCAATGTCTTCTGAATCTCTGGCGCTGTAATACTAACTGTTTGCTCACTGCGCTCGGTATGTAGTTCACTTCCTTCTTCTTGAACACTACCAACCTGAATGGCACCTCTAATTTTCCCAATTGTAGGATTACAGTCACCTTCCATAGCTTTCAGCAACTTTCTTTCCCAATCTAACAATTTAATTGCTTTATTAACAGTTTTTTTAGATCTGTTTTTTCTTCAATCTTGACTTCATGTTGTTGATTTTTTTTAATAAGCGTTTAGTATCTAATGGTTTACCGAATGTTGATTCGTATTTTTTCAACATCGTCTTCAAGGCATCGTCCTTTCTCATTCTTGTTTTCGGAACGTGCGACTTTTGCAAACTAATGGGAGCAATGGCAATTTCATCTGCGATGAACTGCAGGTCGTTGCCATTATTTTCTATAGTTTCCTTATCACTTGAGGATGACATGCTTATTAATTTGATAAAAAATTGTATCCAGTAAAAATTCGGAACGGTCTGGCGTACAACTGTCAGTGATGCTGAGTGAACGAACTCCCACGTCAACTACAAGCTCGAACAAGTCAGGACATGTCGCTCAAGATACAAATACCAGTCAACCTTTTACTTCTTCTTGGAGGATATCCTCGCGAGTATAAGGTAATCATTATGAATGTGAATACAAGGAAATGCTCATACTTCTGCCTTTTCTCCGAAGAAAGACCTTATACTTTTACCTTAAGCTTCCGAGGATATGCTTTTCTTTTATGAATACGGCTCATGGATTATACCGGAAACAACGAACCCGATCTAGGTATAAACCTGTTTTGGGAGGCAAAGTTCATGTGTACAATCAATTACACCAATTGCTGTCGGAAATTTATATACTAAGTGACATATAAATCCGAACACCCAGTTTAAATGGTTTTATTTTAATAAAAGTTAGTGAATGTATTTATCTTACTGTAAATAACAAGTGAAAAAATTTTCAGCCTTATCAGTTGGACATTCCGGTTTTTATACTGCTTTTTTTTAATTCACTAACGCTCTAAAAATGAATATTTCAGCCGCAGTAAAGAATCAACGTTGGCGTATTTTGGTTCTTGACATCCTTTACGATCGGTTACGATGCCTAGAGTACGGAGACCTGTACGATTTCGTCAACTTAGTGAGTTTAATAGGGGCCGTATAGTGGGACTTCGGGAAGCTGGACTTTCTTTTCGGGCAATTGCAGTTAGAATGCAAAGAAGTGTAGACACTGTGGTTAGGTGTTGTCAGGCATGGCTTCGAGAAGGCCGTACGCAAAGAGCAAGGGGCACTGGACGCTGCCGTAGAACAATAGACCGTGAAGATTATTGGCCTTAAGGGACCGTTTCTCCACTACCAGGTCCATTGCAAATGAATGGTTTGCAGAACACGGAAGACCTATTGGCATGCGAAGTGTTTACCGACGAATGAGACGTTTTGGCTTGTTTTCATACCGGCCACACTGGGTCCTCCCTTTAACTCGAGAACACCGACGTAATCGCCTTGAGTGGTGCAGACAACGGTCACTCTGGGATGAGGAATGGAACAGTATTGTCTTTAGTGACGAGTCTCGATTTTGTTTAGGCATGCACGATGGTCGTGCCAGGGTTAGAAGGCGACGAGGTGAAAGGAGGAATACACAGTTTTTTGTTGAAAGACATGTTCATCACACTGTTGGAGTTATGGTTTGGGGTGCTATAGCTTATGGTTCCAGGTCACCATTAATCTTCATCAGAGGTAACATGAACGCGCAGCGTTATATCCACGAAGTTCTAGAACCCCATCTTTCACCCTATCTTGACACCCTGGCCCGACCACATGTTGCAAGAGTCACAATAGACTTCTTTCAACATAATGATGTCACATTGTTACCATGGCCACCAAGATCTCCCGACTTATCCCCAATTGAGCACGTGTGGGATATGATGGGTAGGAGATTGCTCAATTTGCAACGTCCTCCTCAGACTCTAGAAGCACTTCGAGAGGAGTTGGTGTTTGCCTGGAATGAGATACCACAGGAGGACATTGACCACCTGATCAGTAGCATGCCTAGGCGCGTTGGAGAATGCGTAGCACATCAGGGTGCATCCACACATTATTAAAAATTTTTAAAATTTACTTATTATGCTTCATTAAGTACTTATACAAAATTTTATTAAAACTGGGTGTTCGGATTTATATGTCACTTAGTATACATGCTTTCCCATATCGGCTTGACCTCCATCAGTTCATGGTTGGTAGTTGGAAACTTGATCCATTCGTTCGACTGTGCAACTATGCTGTTCACAACTCTATCCATAGTCCGAGATATCGTTGCTCGACTAACACGAAGTTCCTGAGATTTCTTAGATGAGGGACGTTCTCAGATACCCCCATGCGGTGTTGCCAGATTGTACATACTTTCCTCAGACTAAGCGAAAACGTCGTACCCCAATATGCCATAGAAAGATGAATATCGCTCACCTGCTTAAAGGATGCTGTTGATACTCCCTGGACTCCGTGATGCAATTAAAAGGTCGGTGTAAGGGTTAAATATGTAGAACTTATCGAAATAACGTATTTGTTTGGCGGAGAGGATTTTCGAGCAAAACAGTGTTATCATATTTGATTGTTAGACTTTCTATCACTGTAGTGTTAACTCTCCTATACCTGACAGTATTTTTCATTTTTTAGTTCGTTAATACGTATTTTTTTTCAGTTTTTCGAACCATAATTTATTCTACGTCCCTGTGGCAGCCTCAAGCTTCACCTACCGTTTTCCCAGCGACCAGATGCAAAATCTAACGAATCCCCAACAGCAGCAGCTCTTAATTCAAAAGCAATGGACGCCATCTCCAGCAAACTTCGCCTCCTTAATTCGTATTTATTTTGGAGAGGCTTCGAAACTTTTCCTTAAGCAGCGCGAAATTATAATTTTATTTTATGATGAGAAGAAATGCTCCGCGCCGGCGAGTTAGAGCGGCGGCAGATTTGTTAGATGAAGTTTTTAGGAGCGTGCACCACTTTATTTCAACTTTGAATTATCATTCGCTTAGCTCCTCGTTGAGACGTTCATGAACAGTTTACTGTAGCTGTTTGTTTTTCGTTTGGATGCTGGAATTGAAATCGTTGGAAAATTGCACAACTATATCCATAAACGTGAATATCTGTCCAGTCTGTCAACATCACAGCTGAACCACGATATCGAAAATATTGTACACTCACTAACTGAAACTGGAGGAATGTTATATGCATGGTTTTATCCTGATGGAAATCGGTTAAATTGGTTGAATTTCTGATATGTTGAATATCTCACCGTCTTGAACAAATTTCTCAATGGACACAACCTTTTCTGAATTGTGAAATCAAAATAGTTGAAGAAGTATTATCGTCAGTTTATGGCCTCCTTGATTTTCATAGGTTTCTAGCGCTCTATTTTTATTCAGGGTGTTTCAGTTTATTGTTTCATAACTTTAAGATTCGATAGAACTTTTAAAATTAATGCATAAAGTTTATATAAGCATGGGTCGAAAAATGCGTGGATATCGAAATACAGGGTGTTTAAATTTACTTTCTAAAATAGTTTTTTTTAAATATTTCGAACAATATTTGATGTATAACAGTGAAAATTGGTATATAAGGGTTTTTTGGTAGGACAAAACGAACCATGGGCATAGTTTAGTCGCCACTAGAGGGCGCTCTCTACTGGACCTGTAGTGTATTGTAATGACCGAACATTTTTTCTTAGTGCAATTTTTTGCTTTTTGAATAAAAAAACTGATTCCTCGCACTTTTCAACATAAATAAGTTTCGTTATAGTTAGCCATTTTTGAGATATTTCGATTTTTAAGGTTCGATGCATTTTTAATTATTTATGATAAAATAACGTTAAAAAGTCAGTATCTCGATAATTTTTAGAAGTGAGCCTGCAAATATTTTTGAAATTGAAAGCAGAATAAGGTTAAGCGTCAATTAGTTGACAGTTAGTTTTGTTGTCTGTTGAAACCTGAAACGTTTTTTTGCAATTGTGAATGCACGAAATTTAATTTCTTTTACCTGTTTTTTTTTTGTAAGTTTTATAAAAATGCCATTTTTATTCTCCAATCAAGAGTTAGCGGATATTCATTTTGTGTATGGCTTTGTAAATGGAAACGCAGCAGAAGCAGCCGGAGAATACGCACGAACATTTCCAAACAGACGACATCCAACTCGCTCAGTATTTGTAAGAGTGCATCGCCAAATAATTGAAAATGGTTTTGGAAATCTCCAAATGGATCAAAACATAAATGTTCGTCAGCGCAGATTTACCCGTATGATTCTGCGTGAGTTTGATCCGACCACAAGTGTTAGGAGAGTTTCTGGTGCCTTGGGAATTTCAGCAAGCCATGTTCACCGTGTTCTTAGAAATGACCATAGTCGTCCTTACCATTTGCAACCTGTGCAAAGATTACAGCCAGGGGACGGAGAACGAAGAATCACATTTTGTCAGTGGATTCTTGATAGAACTGATAATAATAGGGAGTTTTTAAGTAACGTTTTATGGACCGATGAGTCATGCTTCACTAGACGTGGACTGGTAAATCTTCATAATCAACATATTTGGTCGCATCAAAATCCGCATGTAGTTCGGGAAAGAAATTTTCAGCATTATTTAATGTGAACGTGTGGATTGGTATCTACCGTAATCGACTATTTGGACCCTACCTTTTGCCTGCAATGTTAAATGCTGCGACCTTCTTGGAATTTTTAAAGGCTGAACATGCAAATATGTGGGATGATGTTATGTTAGATTTAAGAAGATTGGCCTGGTTCCGGCTTGATGGTTGTCCAGCTCATTATTCGAGAATAGTTAGAATCTGGCTGGACGAAAATTATCCAGAAAGATGGATCGGCCGTGGAGGACCAGTCGCCTGGCCTCCACGATCCCCTGACCTAAATCCATTAGATTTCTTTGTGTGGGGAATTCTAAAAGAAAAAGTGTATCAGACTCCCGTAACCACAAGAGATATGATAATAGACAGAATCAGGAATGCATGTGACGAAATAAGGCTTTATTTGAATAATGCTATACCACGTTCGATCATTCGTAGATGTGACTTCTGTATTGAACAATTGAGTTTACATTTCGAGCAACTACTTTAGACTTTGTATGTTTGTCCTAACTATCCAATAGCATTTTAGTTGTAGATAATTAATTTAGTTTGTTAAAAATAATATTGAAAACATAAACAAGTTAATATTCTGTTTTTTTGTGTTTATTTGGAGTTAGGGATTATTGCTGTGTTTAAAAACAAAATGTATTTTCCCATAAATAATTAAAAATGCATCGAACCTTAAAAATCGAAATATCTCAAAAACGGCTAACTATAACGAAAACTCACAGGAGAGCTTTTTATGTTGAAAAGTGCGAAGAATCAGTTTTTTTATTCAAAAAGCAAAAAATTGCAGTAAGAAAAAAATTTCGGTAATTTTAATACACTACACGTACAGTAGAGAGCGCCCTCTAGCGGCTACAGTAAAACTATGCCCATGGTTCGTTTTTTCGTACCAAAAAACCCTTGTATACCAATTTTCACTGTTACACATAAAATATTGTTCGAAATATTTAAAAAAACTATTTTAGAAAGTAAATTTGAACACCCTGTATTTCGGAAGCCACGCATTTTTCGACCCATGTTTATTTAGACTTTATGCATTAATTTTAAAAGTTCTATCGAATCTTACAGTTATGCAACAATAAACTGAAACACCCTGTATAATGTTAGATTAAGAACTACATAACACATTCACCATTTTTTGAGTTTAGGCACACTGTCGACCAGAGATGATCGGGAACTTGAAAAGATACAAAGGCGAGCTTCAGAAGTGACTACATCATTTTTATGACACAAAAGGTCCAAAATAACAAATAACCAGCTGACATTGGAATATTTCCGCGAAGATGATAAACGATAATAGACACATTCACGAGACGGCAGTTCCATCAGCCACTCATATCCACTTATATGCCAAGACATTTCTCCTTATGCTGCTAGCAAGGTGACTAAATATATTGAAGCATTTGTAAAATGAGACAATGTCATGAGTGTGATGTGAAATCGAATATTTTGGTATATGTATGTAATGTTAGTAGCGAAAAAAATACTATGCATACGCCGCCTGAGATGGCTATTCTTGGAGTCACACATTATCTGCTGGTCTTTTCTCAAACTAGGTAGGTAATGTAAAAATAACGACAGTGGGATAAGTTGGATAATTGAGGTTTCAACACATAATCATCAAGTATCAAAATCGAAAGAGTTTTCAAAAGGTATGAATAGATCAAAATCATCAAAATCTCAGAAATACGTATAGAAACATGTTGTTGAAGTTTGGAAATATTCATCTAATGGTGATTTTGAACGTGACCTTGATAATGACCTCCAAGCTCATCGGAAGGTTAGGACGATTATTTAAAAGCAAGTGCTACTTTTGATAGAGCAAGAACATAACATTTTACGGTCAGATTCAACAGATGGTGACTTGACTGTGGTCTTCACGGTCATCAGCAGGTCAAAACGGTTTTCTTAATAGAAGCTTTTTGATACCGCAGGAGAATATATCTCGAAAAACACGTTGGAGAAAGAAAAATCTTGTATGATAAAGTCATAAGGTTTGAAAAGATGGTCATCTCAAACGTGCGCTTGACTATGACCTTCAAGGTCAGTTAAAGATCAAGATTATTTTCTTAAAAGAAGCTCCTATTTTTAAACCGCAAGCGTAAAGGTCAGAAACTTTTACGCGGAAGTATATATTTGCCAATGACCTTGACCTTGATTTTCGTAGGTACCTGAGGGGTCCAGAAAGTAGGAAAAGGAGAAAATATTTCAAAAATGCGTTTTATGAAGAAAATGATGTGCAATAAAATTGTAAGGTTTCAAAAGATTCAGCTAATTTTAACCGTGAACGTGACCTTGACTATGACCTTCAACGTCATTGGAAGGTCAAGCCGATTTTCTTAAAAGAAACTTGTATTTTTGATACTGCGAAAAATGTTACGTTACCCATGACCTTGATAATATCTTTTATAGCTGCTTGTTATCTAGAAAGAAGAACGTTGTATGATACAGTTTTAGGGTTTGAAAAGCTGAACAATTGGTGACCTTGAGCGTGATCGTATCGTTAATATTTTTGTCTGGATACAACGGTTTAAACAACCGAGCAGTAGCTCTTGCAATGCTCCCATTTTGGTAATACAGTTTTGTTATTTCTACTCTTTCTTGAATTGTACAATTTTTATCACAACTAGGTAGGTAACTAAACAATTTGAAATGAAAAACAAAGTTTCTCTATGACACGCGATGTCACTGACTGATGCTAAGTGTTCTTGTTGGTATCAATGATTATTTTTTTGCAGTGCATTCCATTATCATCAGTATTAACTTAAGTTAGTCGAATTTTATTATAAACTCAAATAGCTTCGCAACGATTGAAGATAGGTATAAAATTTATTATACAAAACTTACTAAAAAAATGGAACTGACATAAGAAATGCCAAAGATATGAGCTTTTTTTAAATAAAACTAGAGCAGTTTCTTATAGAAAAATGTTATTGCAGTCTATAATGTTTTATAAGATTTCAGTTTTGTGTAGATTATTTGTTTATGTTGGTTTGTATATTTTAAATAATTTATTAATAATTTTTTTATAATTTAAATTATGCTGGCGCACGCTGTATGTATCTTACCTGCAAGCAATTGTAGCGAGCGTAGTGTCTGTGCCACCTTCGTCACTTTCAAAAAATGGATCGAGGCATGTTCAATAATATCCCATATCCATATTTCAAGTGTGTCTGCTTCCAGCTGTATAACAAAGTATATATTCTAGCAGCAGTAGCGTCTGATGTGTCGCAATAGTCTCCTTCCCTTCCCATGTCTTTCTTCTTTTGCTTGCCGCCTGCCACATTGAACTTTATTTTACGCTCTTGACAGTGGCGGAGATGCACGGTGACACATCATGCAAGTTATTTTGCTCCGAATGCCTAGGTAATACAGACGTTTGTTATATGCGTACGGGGTGTCAAGTTTTCCTACTCCTTTTGATGACATACTGCCCCAGACCATAATGGATGCTGGAAATTTCACTTTTCTCTTCAGACAGTCAACATGGAATGGTCTATTTTTTTTGCGAATAACTCTACTGCGACTGTCACCAACACAAACTTCGAATCGGGCCTCATCACTCCATTGTATTGCACACCATTGTTGAGGTGTCCATTGTCGATGTTCTTTAGCCCATCTAAGCCGATTTTTCTTTTGCAGTGGAGTTAATAGAGGCTTTTCTTTGGCCTGTAAACAAGTTGTGCAACTTTAGGGTTTTTACTTCACTTTTTTTTATAAGCATATCAACCTATTCTCATTTCAATAATATACAGGGTGTCCGCAAAGTTAGGGTTTTCCTTTACACGACGTGTAGATCTTGAAAACATAAGCAATTTTTCTTAGTACTATATATACCAATATTTTAAGGGAACCGAGATAAAGGGCTCTGCTACATCAAAAATATCTGAATACCGTCCTGTAGCCGCGACATCCCCGACTGGTACTAGGACACTAGCTCAACCCGACGACATAACTGGGTCGGGGTCAGTGTGTCAGGTCAGTATGCAACCTTCAACCGACGGTTACGGTCACGCGTGTAGAGGTAATCGCGTAGACGAGAATCCGCCAACAAGCACTAGAGACGTGGCTAGAGAAGTGCAAGTATCAAAAACTAAAGTGTGGCAAACGCTGCGTGAAGAGGGGCTGTATCCGTTTCACGTCCAACGTGTACAAGCCCTTCAACCTGACGATTTTTCAGCGAGAGTGCGGTTTTGTGAGTGGTTGTTGCATCAACATGACAATAATCCGGACTTTTTGAATGCATATTGGTGACAGACGAATCTACGTTCACGTGTAATGGGGTGAATAACTTTCGCAACACTCATGTTTGGTCAGTAGAAAATCCGCACGCTGTCCGTCGGGCACATTTTCCTCAAACATTTTCGGTGAATGTTTGGGCTGGCATAGTGAACGGTATGCTCATTGGACCATTTATTCTCCCAAAATGATTGGACGGGATGCAATACCTAGACTTTTTACGCAACATTTTGCCTTCCTTGTTTGCCTACTGCTCGGTAGCGCATCAGCTGATTTCATTTTCTGTTGGACCGGTATGATTTCGGGCAGAGACGTACTTAGCCCTTCTGGTCAACTGGAGAGTGAGTACTTTTTCCTTTATTTTTTTTACTTGGTCGCCCTCGTTTCACTACACATCAATCACCTTTGTTATTTCAAGGGTAGTTGTTTCTGAAAAGGAAAACCCCAACTTTGCGGACACCCTGTATATATATATATATATAGGGTGTCACAACAAGAGCGCCGGATTTGAATTTGCCGCTATTTTTTGTACAAATGGTATGGTGTTTACTTGATGACAGCTGTCATGTCTGGTCCATGCGATTAGACGTCATAGAACAGTATTCAAACGAGCAACGTTTAATTATTGTGAAAACTCTACTAATACGCCAAATGAATCGACAGTTCGCCGTTTAATTACAAAATTTGAGACAAAATTCGCGTTGCTGAATGTGAAGACCACTGTTCGTCGCCGTCCTGGTCGGTCCCTCGAAAATGTAGTCGCAGTGCGGGAAGTGTGGCCGCGATCAAAATTTGCCACCAAGATCGTGCGATCTAACGCCATCGGACTTCTTCCTCTGGGGCTATGTGAAGGAAAAGGTGTATGCGAACGAGCCACGATTTGAACGCCTCAAAGAAGAGATAGGGCGCGTTATCGACGAAATAGAACCGCAGTTGAGCAAAACCGTTATCCAGGATTCCAGGTTTCGTGGTGGCATTTACCGGATGTCCTGTTCCATGTTTACGCAACTATTCCTGTCCATGTGCTTTATTCGAAAAGAAATTGTGTTTTACTGTTATGTTTCCAATGCAAGGCCATCATACCAGGGAGGCGTACAAGGAGACGGACGCACTATCGTCGTATACAGCCAGTGTACCTCCTTGGCGGAAGCGATTTCCTCTCCGCCTGTGCGATTCCGAGTTCTATGAGATCTAATAACGCGGGGCAACCGTTTCACAGACTTCCTCCCCGGCTTTCCTTTACTATTTTTGCATGTGTTACCTTTCGCGCGTGCACCAGCAGCCGAATTTATAAAGAAGGATTATAATAAAATATTTTACGGAGGCACCGAAGGCAAGGAATGCCGCCACCCGCGTTATTGTCGCGTTCAGATCTCGAACGAAACGGATTCTCAACCCCTTGTTCGATATGAAAATATCCGGAAGCAATACGATGTGCCTGGCGCTCTAGTACTTTGTAACGAGGCAAGTTGCTCCGTCAATGGTGCATGCTTGTTAGATTTTTAAAGAAGCATATGTATTAAGTAGTATGTTGGAACGGAGGAATTAATAAAGACGACTAAGTACTATGTATTGCTAGAATCGACCACTGTTTGAATCGTCAATGTACCTGGCCTGGATATAAATTGACCCTACTTACTTAAAATATGCGCGGCTTGGCCTATTCCAGTCAAGAAAAAGCCGAAGCTCTCGCCGATCCGCTATAATCCGAATACAGACACAATTACCATGAAGACGAGCACGACAACCACGAGGAGGCCATGAAAGTCGCAGCCGAAATCATTAGGAGTCGACCACCTAGACAGGAGACGGATCACCCCTCCAGCCCAGAGGAAATCCGCCTGATCATCCGCAGGTTGAAGGTCAGAAAGGCGCCGGGAAAGGACGGCATCAACAACAGGATGCTGAAGAACCTTCCCTCCAAAGGCATTGCTGCGCTCACCTACATCGCCAATGCCACACTGAGACTTAACCACTTCCCGCGGCGGTGACAAGAAGCCCAGGTTATTATGTTCACCAAGCCAGGCAAGGACCGGAAGTTGCCCCAGAACTACCGGCCCATCGTCCTGGTTTCCTCGATGGGCAAAGTAGTCGAAAAGGCTATCGCCGTTCGACTAGAGAAGCAGGCAGAGGAACTGCAACTTCTCCCCCCAGAGCAATTCGGCTTCAGATCCTCCCACAACACGGAACCCCAAGCGCTACGACTGACAGAAAACATCACCATCACCAGTGGCTTCAATCACCAGGAGGCAACCGGCCTCGTCCTGCTGGACGTGGAACGAGTCTTCGACTGCGTTTGGCATGATGGACTCATCGCCAAAATGGAAGCCGCCGGAATCGACGCAAACATGTGCCGACTGATCCAGAGCTATCTAACACAAAGATAGTTCACGGTAAAGATTGGTACATGCCACTCAACAAGACGACAGCTGGAAGCAGGCGTGCTCCAGGGGTCAGCCTTAGCCCCCCTGCTCTACAACATCTACACTCACGACGTACCGAAGACAGTTGATACAATGCTGGCCCTATATGCAGACGACACTGTTATAGCCGCCAAGCATCGACGACCCGAGATCATCCGTAGGAGACTACAGGATGAACTGGACCACATCCAGGACTGGTGCGTGAAATGGAAAATCCGCATCAACGTCCAGAAGACGCAGGCAATCTTCATCCAACGAAGAAGGATTGCAAGACCTCCCGAAGCATCCATCTTCGATGAAGATATCCAGTGGAGCGACAAAGTCAATTATCTGGGGATCATATTTGACAAGTCCCTTACCTGGAAAGATCACATAGAAGCTGTCATCGCAAAGACCAGAGCAGCTATGGCCCAACTCTACCCATTACTGGGTAGACACTGCCAGATGCCGCTAGCGACCAAGATACGGCTGATCAAGGCCATCGCCAGACCTCGGCTCGTTTACGCCTCCGAGGTCTGAGGGTACGCTGCTCCCAGCTACCGCAAGCGACTTGCTGCTCTAGAGATGAAGCTACTCCGGATCGCCACCAGTGCACCATCCTACGTAAGAAACTCAACCTTGCGTAGAGACCTGCATTGGGACACTATTCACGAGTACATGAGGAAAAAAGCAGAGGAGACGTTCCAGAAAGCTCAGGACCACCCGAACGAGCAGCTACTACTCCTCATGGACTACGATCCGGACGAGAGGCCTCGCAACCGCAGAGCCAAGTACCCTAGGTCCAAGTCACAGTTGGCAGGCGCTAACTGGAACCTTGACTAGGAGTACTCGCGGTTGCTCTCCCCCCCCCTCACGACGCGGAATGGGACCAGGACCAGAACCCATCAGGACCAGAACCCATCAGGACCAGGACCCACCAGGACCAGGAACCACCAGGACCAGGACCCATCAGGACCAGGACCAACCAGGACCAGGACCCAACAGGCACAGGTAACAAACAAGCAGAGGACTTGAAACTCTTGATTTTTCGAAAACAAGAGTATCAAGAAAACGCAGCATACCCTCTATCGATGCTCGCTTAACGACATCGATAGAACTGTGCGAGGTAAAGGGAACTAACCTGGCGTTCCCAGAGACTGAAACATATGAAGAGACATTGTAGCAGACCGCAGGTCACGCACAACACATGGCCAGACGCTTATGAGTCGGGCCACGCGGAGGTTAGGGTTTAGTGGGTATTAGGTGGTTTCCTCAAGACAACCTGGAGTCCCACACACGCCATAGCTCGGGCTATGGTAAGGTGCATAAACGCAGCCCCTCCTCACAAAAAAAAATATATGTTTATTTCGTTGACGCGGATGCGTCGGCTGTTTGCTCACCGATAACAGAAAATGTTCCTTATACAGTAAAAGTGCCTAAACCAGGGTCCAACGGCAACAAAGCGACACAGCAGGAGATCAAGGCATGCATTGCTCTTGTCGCTCGACTTCAACAAAGCTTTTCGTCCAGACTTAATTCCTGCCGTTGTATTGACGATAGTATGTGCAGTTGAGCTTGCTCCAGTTCTTTCGCGTATTTTCCAAATGTCTTACGAATCCAGCACCTTCCCAGAAAAATGAAAATTCGCCCATGTCCAACCCAT